TGAGAGAGAGAGAGAGAGAGAGAGAGAGATGTTCGTAGTGAATACCTCCTAGTACAAAGAACACTCCAAAAATTGTGTCTTGAAAAATGCCACTCTTCTTCTCACCATGCAATGACAATTACTTCACAATAATTGTAACCAATTTTTTGAACTTTGTTATTTGCTTTGCAATGACTGGTTTTCAGATTAACTCTATGTTATTAAATGTAAAGGTTTGGGGATAGAAGGCACCATTTAATTGATAATGTGTTACCAGATCAAAAACTGATGAAGCTCATGGGTTTATTGGTTACTTACATTCCCTATGTCATTCTCATACAAATGCAACTTTTACACAGAGTATTAATCCCTCATCCTAGATTCTCTGTCATATTATAAAGATTCCTATCTATGATTGATACACAAGCAATCTTATTAGTATACCAAGACAAAGCTGTTCATTAGAGGTTGCACCCCATGCCACACTTACAAGAACAGATTCTATAGATACTTTCCCTTTTCCCTTGATAACCGTGCATTAATCAGTTGTTCATCATACAGTACTAGCAACTCGTATGAGCTAGCACAAGAGGGGAATCAACTAGAGTGGTGATTTTGCAGTGGCAGCCATTCCACAAAATGACTATCAGGCCTACCCTCAAACCCTGTGATAATTTCTCATCGTTTGTTTTACTTTCTCAGCAACTTGACCTTATAACCAAGTTTTCTCTCTTATGATCATTCTCATCTGCCACACACCCGTCTTCCTTCCTGTTGCCCCTAATGGGTGGTAGCAAAAGGGCCATAAATTAGTGAGAAAGCACATGGTTTACAAAGAAAAGTTCCTTCATTTCCATGTTCTGTTAAAAGGATCCAGTGAACTAGTGATGTGAAAAGCCTTTGTCTGATACAGTGGTGCCTCGCATAGCGATCGCTCCGTTGAGCGACGAAATCGCTTAGCGACGGAGTTTTTACGATCGCAAAAGCGATCACTTTGTGATGGTCCCTATGGGTTTTTTTCGCTTTGCAATGATCGCGGGGAACCTGTTTCAAAATGGCCACCGGGGAAACAAAATGGCCACCCACGGTTTTTCCTTGCTTAAGAGGCAGCGAAAATGGTGGCACTATGGAGGATTTTCGTTTAAAGGTGAGGTTTTAAGCCCATAGGAACGCATTAATCGCGTTTTAATGCGTTTCTATGGGCTTTTAAATTTCGTTTAGCGATGTTTTCGCTTAGTAACATTTTTTCCGGAACGGATTAACTAAGTGAGGCACCACTGTATTCTGGAAACCTGCTGTCCCTCTGAGGTAGACATTAAAGACAGACCAGAAACAAGCTAGGTTCCGGGTACAAAAGTTAACAATGAGACATGGATTATTTGTAGGAAGAGGTCACTGGCTAGGCCAGATGAGGTTGAAGGTGGTTTTAAACCAAAACATCTAGAAGATTCTATGTTTCTGACTCCCACTCAAAACAAATGCTCAGAACACCTTACAACCATCTGAATCCATGAAAACTGCTACCATAGAATAATTTCTGGTGGGTGGGGGGAAGGGCAAACATATTGGGCAACAGCAGCAAAAATAATTAAGGAGTCTGAATGCCTCCTTAAAGCCTAGCAGGTTTCAACTGACAATTTATGCCAGACAAATGACTTAATATTTAAGGTGCCATGGGCCATGAGACATTTTGTTGCATCAACATGGATTAGAACATGTTTACATTCAATGGACAGGAGCCATTTTGCACGAAGAACAACTTTATTAAAAGATGGGATAGCACCATTTAACTCAGTGGGGCTTACTTCTGAGTAAATATATACAGATGTCCCCTAAATAAAAATACTTGGGGAGGGGTGAGGGGAGCTGAACAGGCCGTTTTGGGAAAGCAGAGACCACTCACGCACACACACACACAAACCTCCCAAACAGCAGTGAACATGACAGAACTGTGTTGGTTTTCTGCATTCCCTGGAACCGAAATATTGATGCCTAGGAGAGTCAGTCACCCACAGGAAAGTCTGTGATGAAGAAAGAACATGGGCTCCTATGATATTTCATGTGTGCCCCAAAGTGGAACAGCTGAAGAGGCATATCTACACACATGTACACACACACACACTGCACCCAGGAAAAACAGGCCCTCAGTAAAAATTCCTCTGGCTCCGTCTCCTGCTGTAAATAAAAGATTTGTATGGGGAAAAGAGGGGGGGTTCCGTATCATACAATTGAATGCACTAAAAAACCTTCCAACCCACCCCTTCGACACACACGCTTGGAACTGGAGGGAAGCTACCAAATACGCCATGACAGCCACCCTTAACCCGGCTCTGAAACTCCAAGACCCCGCTTGCTATCAACAAAAAAGCAAGCCTCTGCGGCTTGCCGGCCAAGGCACTGACTGCCCGGCTGTAGGGCGCTCCAGCGGCCTGGCGAACCTGGCAAAGCCGGGGCCCTTTCCTAGATTTCCGCCGATCCTTTGGGGCGGAGGCTGGGCTGCAGCTCCCGGGGAGTTGGTTGGGTTCTCCCTCCCCCCCCAGTGCCGCGTAGGCATGGCAGCGAGAGTTCCGGAGAGGAACAAATGGCTGCTTCTCCCCCCCCCTCGTGTGTGTGCATGTGTCCCTGTGAAAGGCACGGAGCCCTTGCAATATCGGGGGAGGGAGCATGGCTGTAAAATATTATGTGTGCCTCTTTGCCTGCGTGTGATAGGCGCCCATTGGAGGGGGGTCTTCATAAAGAGCTGCAGCAGCCAGGCCCCACCAGAGTGGACGGAAGAGAAGGGAAAGAAATAAGGAAGAAGAATAAATAATAATTATTATTATATATTCTAGAGCTGTTATTTAGCTCCCCGATTCCCCACATCGCATGCAAACTCCTCACCCCCATGCAAACAGACCTGCTGCTGCTGGTAGCCTTGGGCAAGAGGCCAGTGTGCTGCCACCCGGGGAGGGGCTGGTCTTGCAAGGGGTGCTTTTTCAGGCGGACATGTTTAAGGGCTGCCTCTCCCTACCAGAGGAGCCCGCTGCCTGCAGAGAGAGCGAGAGAGAGATTGAGAGCGAGGGGGAGAGAGAGAAAGAGAGAGAGAGAGAGGCCTGCCTTTAAAAAGATGGTTGCACATAATGGCAGGCAGGCAGGCAGGCAAGGAAGGAGAGCCAGGGTTTTTGCAGGGACAACGAGGAGGA